ACTAATGGGCTGTTAATCAGTACTTACTAGGGAACACACCGCCAAGCTGTATTAGGGGACTATTGGTTAGTTACCTTGTAAACAAAGAGGAACTAATCAAGAACTTATGGGCTGTTAATAAGTACTTACTGAGGAACACACCGCCAAGCCGTATTAGGGGACTATTGGTTAGTTACCTTGTAAACAAAGAGGAACTAAACAAGAACTAATGGGCTGTTAATCAGTACTTACTGGCGAACACACCACCAAGCCGTTTTAGGGGACTATTGGTTAGTTACCTTGTAAACGAAGAGGAACTAATCAATAACTAATGGGTAGTTACCAATGAAACTAAAGAGGAATGAATCAGGAGCTAATGGGTAATTAGATCAGTAATCACTAGGAAACAGGTTTTTGACAATTACGAGCTGTGACCTCACTGGTGCAGGGTTTATTTAGAACTCATATGGAGAATTTCTTCTCTGTTTCTGTGGTAACAAACCAGTAGCCCCCTAATAAGCTTGGCTGTGTGTTCCCCAGTAAGTACTGGTTAACCACCCATTAGCTTCTGATTTGTTCATTTTTAGTTTCCTTGGTAACCTTTATTATTTCCTCTTTATTTAGAAGGTAAGAAACCAATAGTCCCCTAATAAGGGTTGGCTGTGTTTTCCCCAGTAAGTACTGGTTAACTACCCATTATCTACTGATTTGTTCCTGAGGCGTTCCCTAGTAGTTAAGCAAATTTTGTGTACATTATTGTAAAGTGTTACCGTTCCCTGGATGGGAGACTAAACATCTTCCATATAAACACAAATGCTGGGATTTTAAATTTTAGCACTTGTCATCTCCTTAATTACTGATCATCTGCACCAGCATGCAGATGGTACGAGTTCTTACCAAAGTTCTCTTTGCAAATGTAACCAGTTTCGTCGTTCATGGAAAACTGCACAGCTCCTTCACACCTGTGCTGTTTCAGACTTATGCTCACATTATCTGCAAAGATGGAAAAAAAAAAATGTTATAACCAAATAAAAACACCCAGATTCTTTAGATTTGATTGTACACCTGTGCATGCACGTTGCATTCTTTACCACACTAAGATGTGATGAAATATTAACGACCCACTTGAACATTTGATCTTTTTCACAGTAGCTTTCTGGTAAAAGCTGACGCCTGGAGCGGGCCAGCCCGGACAGTCCCACAGGTTCTGCTCGGTACCGGCACACTGCAGCTCGTTGAGCCAGACTTTGCGTTTCATGGATCTGCGGACGTTGCTCGTGGAGTTCTGCACCGGAACGCCGCAGTGAGTGCTCCTGCACGCCACCTCTTCGGTGCGCGCGTCCCAGTACTTGTCTCCGACATAGCCCCGCTCGCTATTATAGTACACTTCAACGGGACCTTCACAAGGGTTGGTTCTGTTCTGCAGAACGACTCTGAAATGATCTGATGAAAGAACGGGACAGTTCTGGATAAGGCCTTTTGATTTTCATCTTCATCAACACAATAATTGGAAAAAAATATTATTTTTACAAAACATACGTCACGGTGAAAGAACGTTGTATATGTCAAAGTTCATGCTCAATAATCCAGGTAAAAATGGATTATTTTATTATTATATTAATATTTACCTGGATTATTGAGCATGAACTTTGATGTTTTGAACCACTTTGCCCATGGCTGCCTCAGAGGAGTTGACGAGGGACAGGGCGGACTCCAGAAACCATCTTAGTATCATGAAACTGGTTGACCCACTATGTGAAGGTGCTATTTATAAGAGTTTGTTGTGGCTCCTCGGACTGATGAAGTCTTTTGGATGAAAGACGAAACGTTTCAGCACAAAGAAACTGTCCAGAAGACCTGACTGAACGTTGTTGGGATAGTTTATATACAATCAGATTAGTTAAACTTCTGACAGTTGAGATTTCTTACAGCGTTATTTAAAAAAAATAAGTTTTATTCTTTTATAACACCACTGGTCCACAAAACGTTAATGTCCATCCATGGATTCATTTTCTTGACCCACTTGATCCATGCTGGGTCGCTGGTGTCTTTCAGTCAATGGGCGAGAGGTGGGGTGAACCCCGGGCAGGTGACTCACCTGTTCCTCCACAAAACATCTGGCAACATTCACACACACACACACCTAGTGACAATTATAGGTGCAACTTATTACCCTTCATATTACTGCTTCTTTCCTGCTTATATAGAAAATTCTGATCTTTTCAACGATATGACGAGGATTTAATTTAGTATATTTTGTGCAGTAGTCAGGCGGTTCATACAGAGGAAATATTTAAGTTTGACAGCGAGACCCAAAGTTATCGTGAAGATGTAAAGATCTGAGCATGAGGTGAGGCGAGGAGTTGATCTGACGGAATGGAAGCGCATCAAATCTGCAAAATACATAAGTGATGTCCTTATGAAATCATCTGGATCTGATGATTAAATCTCTGTTTCACGTTGTGCAAATCATCCTGATTCTAATTTTACAATTTTCTCTGATTCTTTCTGCCGTAAAAATCAAATTCTCAAATGTAATTTCTTTATATCCTGATTCATAATCAATAATCCAGAATAATCTAACAAGTTAAGACTGGTCCTCTGGACTGATTGAATTTTTTTAATTAATCAAATAAATGTATTATTAATTTATTAATAAAATTTATCATGATTTCATTTATCATCATCAATTTATCGTTTATCATCAATTTAATATCACAATTTATCAATATATTTGTAATTTATTAATCAAAGCAATTTTATTACAAAAACAAAAAGAAAGGAATTTTTAGTAAATAAAGGTAAGAAATTTTGAAAAATAAAACATGTTGGCGTCCTGATAACAAATTATTTGGACCTGACAGTAAATTTACAAAAAAACAAACAACTAATTAAATCATTAATGGCAGTTAATAACATATTTATTTCAGTTTGTTAAATAAAATCAACAAAAAAATGAGACAACCCTATAAAATTATAATCTGTTTTGACCAAATCTAAAACCTAGAAATAGTTTGCAGCGCATGCACCAGTCTATTTTAATAAAAATGATTAGCAAATTTTAACTATTTTGTTGTTGTCACAGATTAATTTCCCTCCAGATTTAATCCTAATAAAAGTTGTCACTTGCCTTGAAAGTCAACGAACTCGGTGTGAGCGAAGGAGTGACGGAGGAGGAGGAGGAGAAGGAGCCACATCTTCACCACAGCGTCATGACTGAAGAATGAGACAAACGGAGGAGCTGAGCGCGTTTTTATCGACGAGGAAGTCCCGCCAAAAACACAGACGCTGCTGGAGACACGTTTTAAACAAAAGTCCACTTAAGAAAGAAAAAGTGATGAAACATGCATGTAAGAAAGAAAAACAAACTTATGAAACATAAAATACTTGAAGATAAAGTTAAAACATACGAAGCAGGAAACGTCTATAAAATGTGATTTTAATTAAAACATTTTTCTTTTGCGTAACATAAACTGAACTATAAGGATTTTTAAATACATTTATACAAATAATTTGATAAAACTCCTTAATTTTGTCACAGTATTTATTTGTTTTATTTTCACATTTATATTTGAAACAATCAACGCTGGACACGTTGAGTGCAAATAGTTATTGTAACATATTTACAAGTTATTTTTATTATTTACATATTTTTTTATTCAAATTTTTAAAAAGCAATATGACAACTATACTTTTTTTCTGACAAATAAAACATTCGTAGATACACTTTTTATTTTATAGATTTTAATATTATACCAGTTTGGTCTATAAAAGGTTTGTTTTCAACAAACAAATTTTAAAATATACGCATTTATGCTAGAAATATTAATTAAACATGGAAAAGTAATAAAATATCAAAATAAATTGATATTTTTAAAATTTAAACATTTTCCGTATATGATTTTTGTTCTAAAAGGTAATATAATTTTAACACATTGCTGATTAAAAAAATAAATAAATTACAAAAAGTTGATGTAATGGGGAAATTAAGATAATTTATTATATTTAATATTCTGGTATTTAGTATTCCTAACATCTGACAGTCAGAAGAAAGAGACGAGCAGCTCAAATGTCAGCTCACATCAGAGAAATGTCAAAACTATTATTATTCTTAAAGGGTGGAATATTTTACTGAGAAGAAAGAACATCCTGTTTCATTTAATCAGCAAACATCTGGAAAATAAAAACCATGATAGTGATTTTACAACACGTTTAAATTTCTCAAAACGGCAACGAAGGCGTTCAAATAAAATCCTCACGTGGCACAAAAACTGTCTTTTACACGATAACGGCTGCGTTAGTTTGGTCTGAACACGCAAGCAGAGCGCACAGAATCTTATTTTTAATTTGAGTGGAGGACTTTAACAGATTAAAGAACTAACAACAATTTGATCTAATCTTCACGCTTGCAGAGACAAACAAACCCCAGTTCAAAAAAAGTGTGAAAATATAAATTAAAACTGAACAGAAGGATTTTAAAAAGTTCAAAGAAGCAGTGAACTTGTCAGATATTTAAACCAAGAAGTTGTACCTTAAAAAGGCTTTTGTATTTATTTACGAAGGCAACACATCAGAAAAAGTTGTGACCGGGCCGACTAAAGTCTGTAACAAGTTCAAGGATCTTTATTGTCCCCAAGGGGCAATTTGTTCACAGTCAGTAGAAACATAAAACATTAAGACAATAAAAGAACATAAATCATCTGTGTCTGTTGAGAATCCTCATCTCTACAGGGATGAATGGGTTTTTCAGTCTGTTCGTTCCACATCTGGGCTGCACAGACCAGATGTGGAACAACCTGAACTCACTGTGGACTGGATGATCAGGATCTGCCAGAATCAGCCTGGCTTTCTTCACTGACCTCGTCTTGTGTAATAATAATAATAATAATAATAATAATAATAATAATAATGATGATGATGATGATGATGATGATGATGATGATGATGATGATGATGATGATAATGATAATAATAATAATAATGATGATGATGATGATGATGATGATGATGATGAT